ACCTTCAGTCCCACCATCAGACCAGCTCGATGATACCATAATATTGTATTGTCACCTAATCTACATATTATTGCAAAGTTTTATTATGTTAAGACGCATCTCAGGAGCCCAAACTCGATTTGTTTACTAGTAGGCAGTCCAAGGTTCCATTAGCCACCTTCCACTCCCATCATCAGACCAGCTCGATGGTACCATGATATTGTATTGTCACCTAATGTACATATAACTGCAAAGTTTTATTATGTTAAGACGAATCTTATGAGCCCAAACTCGATATGTTTACTAGTAGGCAGTCCAAGGTTCCATCAGCCTCCTTCCAGTCCCGTCATCAGACCAGCTCGATGGTACCATAATGTTGTAATGTTACCTGATCTACATATAATTGCAAAGTTTTATTATGTTAAGACTAATCTTATGAGCTAAAACTCGATTTGTTTACTAGTAGGCAGTCCAGGGTCCATCAGCCATCTTCCAGTCCATCGTGAAGTCCTCGTCATCAGGAGAAATGAATAGAATATGTTAAGGCAAATCTAATAAGCCTAAACTCGATATATTTACTAGTAGGCAGTCCAAGGTGCCATCAGCCACCTTCCAGTCCCATCATCAGACCAGTTCGATGGTACCATAATATTGTATTGTCACCTAATCTATTAGTTTCATTAATTCATTTCATTTTGGTCCTTCTCCAGTAATTTCCAGCGTACCTATTTTTCATTACGTAACTTTAGTTATTGATCACCCGCAGTAAAAGTAAAATCATGCCGATAAACCCTGCGACTAGTACTGGTGTGCAAGATAATATTATGCAACCTAGTACTTCCCAACATGTAGACAGCGTTGCCCCGAGTGAGACGTCTAAGTCAAAATCATCACGCTCGTCGTCCACAATTAAGGCTCAAAAGGCCGCCGTAGAGGCCCTCGCTCTGCGCCGACGGTTTGAGCATGAGCAGGAGCTCGCTGAAAGTGAGAGGCAACGTGAACTGCAGCTGGCCGAACGCGAGAAGCAACGTGAAAGTCGACTGGCAGCACTCCGTCAGCAGGTAGAGGAGGGCGAACTGCAGGGCGAACTTGCCGCTCTCGACGCGGAAGCCGCGGCAAGTCGCACCAGTCGTAGTGGTTCTACCAGGGTAAGCGTAGAAAGAACAGAAAGATGGGTACAAAGTTTAGGACAGCAAGTTTGCGTCGGCGAAAATATAATTAATAGAGGCATCCCCGCAGTAGGGCGCGAGCAAGTAGTGGTTCCACCTCCCGGCCACCAGGCACCTCTGCCGGCCACTGGGTCAACTGCATCCCCTATTAACCGTTTTGTTCATCAGAAGCAACTTTTAAACGTCACTAAAGCGTCCGAGGCGGCCGTGCTTACGCGACCGCTCATTTCCACGGAGCTTGATCAGAGTAGTCTGCTTCAGACTGTTGCTGACACTGCAGCTGCGGCCAAGGCGCTTGCTACTTCGCACCGTCATAAACATAAGATCGAATTGTTTCCTTTTGACGGAGACGCCTTAACATGGTTACATTTTAAGCGTATTTTTGATTTAACCAAAAGCAATTTTTCAGTTATTGAAAATATTAGTCGATTACAAAATGCACTTCGCGGCGCGGCTCGAGATGCAGTCGCGTCACTGTTGCTGGCTACAGACGACCCGAACGATATTATAAGAGCTCTGGAGGAAAACTTCGCTCGCCCGGAAATTAAAGTATTTAAGGAAGTGTCCGCTCTAAAAAATCTATCACGCTTAGGAAATGACTTGAAAGAGTTAATTACGATAACGAATAAGGTACGTAATTCTATATCTTCTTTTAAAATACTGAAACAAGTTGAGTACTTGCACTCTCCAGAACTATTTCACTCCGTCTTAGGAAAATTAAACCCGGTTACTAAAGTAAGATGGACGGACTTTGCTATGCAAGATACTACAGGGCGTTCTAAATTAGAGATTATTTCCGATTTTTTGAGGCGCGAGTTAGATCAGCTTATTCGGTTCGGTTTATCACCGGAATCTTGTTCGATCCAACATTCACAACAAAACTCTCAACTAAACAAACCGTATAAACGAGAAAATATTCACATAGTTACACACTCAAAACCAAATTCTAAGGTGGTGTCTACACAAAAGCCTGAATGCGCGTTTTGCAAAAAAGATCACAATATTAAGTCATGTTCTGAGTTCATAGCCTTATCTGTTGATGAAAGGTGGGTCTGGCTGCGTGAGGTAAAAGCGTGTTATAGATGTCTTAGGCGTAGTGCACATCAGTGGAAAACATGTAAAGTTAACCCTTGTGGTGTCGATGGGTGTCTAATACGTCATCACCCGTTATTGCATGGTAAACAACCCGCCTCTTCTGTCAATACTACGTTCGACACGCAATCCACCGAAAATGATCATGCGACTACACACCACGAACCTGCATCTGTCGAAAAGGTAATAGTTTCTACCATTTCTACAGGTGTTTAAGAACCCAGCTCCATTTTAACTCTGTGCCCACGTGTATATTTGAAAATCTTACCCGTTACTGTCTCTGGTCCCTCAGGAAGTTGCAATGTTTACGCACTTCTCGATGACGGTAGCACTGCTACGCTCATTGACTCAAGTATTGCTGCTCAAATCGGTGCGACAGGGCCTCACCAGAAAATAACGGTCAATGGTATAGGCGGTCTTAGTAGAAACGCTACGATATCGTATATAGATTTTCAAATTAAGGGTAGGCACACACGAGACACATTTTTAGTGAAAAATGCGAGAGCTATGGAGTCTTTGTCTCTGCGTCCTCAAACAATTAGGCAGGAAACTATTGCTTCTTTCGAACATTTAGCGGATGTACCTTGCAACGTAACTTACGAAGAAGCTACACCAACAGTTTTAATTGGGGCAGAGCATTGGCATTTGTCAATCAGCAGCGAGGTAAGGTGTGGTGGTAAGAATGAACCCGTTGCCTGTTTAACTGCCTTAGACTGGGTGCTTTATGGAATCGCGACCAGTAAAACTAAATTAGTGGAGTTTGTTAATCACAGTGTGTGTATCGAACCTTCCGATGAGGGGAAATTAGACTCTCTTATTAGGGAACAATACAAAATTGACTCGCTAGGTATTTCTAAAAAAGAAACTCTATATTCTAAGTCAGATAAACGTGCAGTCGAGATTTTTGAAAAAACTGCTAGACGTCTCCCCACTTCTGGTCGGTTTGAGGTTGGTATGCCGTGGCGTGACGATATACAGCGTATTCCCGACAGCTACTCTCAAGCCATGTCACGATTTTTAAGTCTAGAAAGGCGCATGGCTAAAGACACTGACTTTGCAAAAGCATACAACGTGTTCATTTCAAACATGATCACAAAAGGTTATGCAGAAGAATGCGCTCCTGAGTCATACTACGCTAACTACATTAAAGATAAACAATCTTCTTTTATGAGGCTCTATTTACCCCATTTTGGCGTGTACCACCCTCAGAAGCGCAAGCTTCGTGTAGTTCACGATGCCGCAGCCACAAATGGGGGCGTCAGCCTGAACTCTTTGTTGCTACCTGGTCCAGACCTGCTTCAGCCCTTGCTAGGTATTTTACTTCGGTTTCGCGAGGGCCGTATTGCTCTCACTGCTGATATCCGGGAAATGTTCCCCCTCAAGTAAGGATCAGGGAGCAAGATAGGGACGCCCTCCGGTATCTCTGGAGGTCAAGCAGAGACCAACCTATAAAAGAGTTTAGGATGACAGCCGTCATGTTCGGTGCGTGCTGCAGCCCATTTATAGCGCAATTTATTAAAAATAAAAACGCTCGTGAGCACGAAAGTTTATTTCCTAAAGCAGCTCATGCTATTTTGTACAATCATTATATGGACGATTATATTGACTCTCTCGATGACATTCAGGAGGCAGCACAACTGGCGGCAGATATTGTTGCTGTTCACAATGATGCCTGCTTCGAGATGCGGGGCTGGATTTCCAACAACCTATCAGCGCTAAAATTAATTCCTGCTGATCTTAGGGCCACTCAACCGTCGTTGGAAATCAATCTTGGCAGCTGCTCTGCAAACAATATTAGAGCGTTAGGAGTATTGTGGAATCCCACAACAGATAATTTAGGGTTCCGTTCAGGCTTAGGTGAAACATTTCCAAACCCTCTCACAAAACGCAAAGTTCTTTGTCACCTCATGCGTGTGTACGACCCGTTAGGCTTATTAGCTCCAAAAAAAGTTGTTAAGGGTCGAATTTTATTTCAGCAAACGTGGAGGTCTAATGTCGACTGGGACACCGAGTTCCAACCCACGGAAGCATTAAGGTGGTCTGATTGGTTTCAGGAGTTGTCAAAAGTAACCTCTTTGGAAATTCCGCGTTGGTATTCTAACTCTAAAAACTCTGAACCAACTCAGAGGGAGTTACACGTTTTTGCTGATGCAAGTGAGCTCGCGTACGCATGTGTCGCTTATTGGCGCCTTTTGTACTCAGACGGCAGCATCGAGCTTTCTCTCATCTCTAGTAAGGCAAGAGTTACACCCTTAAAACCTACCTCTATCCCACGTTTAGAGCTCCAGGCCGCTTAAATAGCTTCTCGTCTCGCGGTTACCATTAAGGAAAGTCATAGAAAACAACCGGCACGTACTTTCTTTTGGACCGATTCTATGACAGTCCTTCAGTGGTTACGTAGTGACGGGCGCTCCTTTAAGCCTTTTGTTGCCCATCGTTTAGGCGAAATTATTGAAAACTCTTGCGTCAGAGACTGGCGATGGGTACCAACAGACTGGAATGTTGCCGATGACGCTACCAGGACGCGATCAATTAACCTCGACGCGTCCCACAGATGGTTTCGCGGTCCATCTTTTCTTTTAAAATCCGTCGAGGGCTGGCCTACAGAGCCAAGGTATGCCTCACCAAACACCGATGAACTTAAGACCAATAGTTATGAGTTGGTTGGTCTAACTTCCTTAGTCGAAGAGTTACCGACTCCGGTCACAGCCATTTTTGCTAATTTTAGTAATTGGCAGCGCTTATTACGTGCCACAGCCCGGGTACTTCAAGCTGCGGCAAAGTTTGGTGCAATTTTGGCTTCCATTAGAAATTCCAAATTGAAAGGCGAAGTTGTTTGTTCCCGCCATCCTTCAGCGTCCACTACTCTACCACTTCTTAGTGCGGATTTAATAAAGGCCGCTGAAAGGCAAATTCTGCAACGAACACAGCTCGAGAGCTTTTCCATAGAATTTCTTCATATCCTGAACTCGAAGCCTATTCCTCCGAACAGTCGTCTCAGAAAACTGTCACCCGCTTTGGGAGAGGACAAATTACTGCGGTTAACCAGAAGAATTAAAGCCGCAGAAGACATTGACCCTGACACACGCTTCCCCATTCTTCTTGATGGTCGTCACCCAATTGTACGTTTATTGGTACAATTATATCATCGAAAAGCGGGTCACGCAAATTATGAACTAGTCGTGAACGAATTAAGGCAAAAATTTTTGGTTGTTAAGGCTGAGGAACACAGTGAGAACAGTAGCAAAACAGTGTCTACTCTGCAGAATAAGAAAGTCCTTGCCGGTGAACCCGAAAACAGGAGATCTGCCACCTGAAAGATTAGCTCACCATCGACGACCCTTTTCTTTTACGGGCCTGGACTACTTCGGCCCCGTAAGCGTCACTATCGGGCGCAGGCATGAAAAACGTTATGTAGCCCTTTTCACCTGTTTAACTGTCAGAGCCCTTCACCTAGAGATGGAACATAGTCTATCGACTGACTCTGCTATCATGGCTATTAGAAGATTCATTGCAAGACGGGGCTCTCCAAACACTATTTTCTCGGACAACGGAACCTGCTTTGTTGGTGCCAATCGCATTCTCAGAGAGTTCTACGGAGAAAATGTCGAAGATTTCACAAGCACTCAAGGAATACTCTGGAAGTTCACCCCGCCTGCCGCACCTAATTTTGGAGGATGTTGGGAGCGCTTGGTGCGAACAGTAAAGGTGGCTCTGAACGCAACATTAACCGAACGAGCTCCAAAAGAAGAAACCCTGAGCAGTTTACTAGCCGAGGCAGAAGCCATTGTCAATTCACGTCCATTAACTCATGTATCTACAGATCCTGACGACCCGACAACACTCTCACCATTTCATTTCTTAATCGGTTCTTCGTCCGTGCAGACCCTACCTACTGCCTTGAATGATCACGATTTGGTCAGCCGTTCCGAATGGAGGAAAGCATTGAGGCTAGCGGATCATTTTTGGTCGCGTTGGATGCGAGAGGTTCTCCCGACCCTACAACCACGTGAGCAGTCAAGAGCCAACCGCAGTTCAACAGCTCTTCAAGAGGGTGACGTAGTAATTATTGCTGACTTTAACTTGCCCCGCGGAACATGGCCACGAGGACGTGTTGCGAAAGTGTACCCTGGGAAAGATGGCGTAATAGGGGTAGTGGACGTTGCAACAGCAGGAGGAATGCTACGCGGACCCGTGCGAAAACTAGTTAGGCTTTCCACCTAAGGCCTTGACTGACCTTGGTTTGCATAACCAGTTTGTGCTTAGCTGCACGAGGGGGAGGATGTTGCCGACCTCTTTGCTATTTTGATAGCTGATGTAGTTTTTTACTCTTTGGTTGTTTTTTGACGTTGTCTGTTCTTTTTACCCATTTCTTTCTGTTAGCTTAATTTTCTGCTTTTATTAAAAAAAATATAATTCTTCAACTTGTATCATCGTTTTATCATTTGCGGAGATCAATTTGGTTTGTTCATTTCACTAATAAAAGCGTGTTAAAAAACAAATGAATTCTTTAATGCAAGAAAAAATATTAATGTTCGCTGTTCGTCATTGATTTTGAAAAATTATTATTTAGTTTCAATAATAAGGAATAAAAAAAAGCGAGTAAAGCTTTGATTTATTTAATTAATAGTAACATGTGGTTTGAAAACAGTATGAAAATCGGCATTAAGGTAATATTAATACCCAATAATATAAATGATAAGAAATAAAATAGGTACATGGTTATATTGCAGTTTCATTTATTAAATAAAATCAGATTATTATTAATTAAATATTTCTCAGTAATATTTCCATTGGGAATGCCATTTCGTTTGTAGTTGCCACGCAAATTGTATTATTAAAGTACCTCACTGAACTTATGAATATAAACCAGTACATCTTTTGCCGTATACAAGGCATTTGGTCTGAAGCGATCTGTAAAAAAGAGGTCAAGGTAAATATTTAAAAGCGATTGAACCTTAGATAAATTTAAGCAATATGAATTTGGAAAGATGGTATGAAAAAATGCAAGGCTCTAAAAGCTTTTTATTAATGCGTTAATCCGCACTGAATAAAATAACGAAATAATAGAGACGTGAATTAAAAAGACGTGGTAAAGTGGTACATACTCGTAGTGTTGCCTTAATATTGTTACTAGCAGGCGCCCGCGACTTCATCCGCGTTAAAGTAAAAGAATTTTCAAAATCGGTAGATCCAGAGATTAATTCACATACCTTGCCTCTTTATATAATAGTATGGAAGACTCTTCCAAATCATTATATAAAGAGGTAAAGTTTTTGGTAAAGCTCTTCTAAAAAGAGCTCCCGCCATCTAAAGTTACGCTGCCCAAGGAGCACCGTAGGAGGAGAACCCTGGCAGTACCTACCTAAGCACTACTACTAAACAATAATATTCACAAAACAGTTTAAGATTTTCATAAGCATGTAATAAGGGAAAGTAAATTACCTCTATCGATTTCGGTTCCGACAACCACAAATGGTGCTATGTCTAGCACCCTTGACAAGAGCCCGACAGTCGGCATACCTTTCTTGTCGTTGAGAGCCAATTTATAGGTATCCTTAACCAAATATTTTACAACTTTCTCTGAAAAGTCTAGTTCATTCGTTTTCTTACCGGGCACCTTGGTAGGGTTTGTGGCATAAGTCCTAAAACCATCAAAAGAAGCAACTCCTACTAAATATCTGGAATTAGCAAAAGATATACATAAGTTAATTTTAAAATTATTAGCTACTTCTTATTTGATGATAGTGATAACACTTACCCATTTCTATCGACTACAAGCGCATTGTCAACACTTTCTCTTATAAATTGTGAATAAACATCGTTGCAGGTAGTATTTTGCTCAACTTTGATAATCTTTCTTTCCGGCATATCTGATACCGGCTGTGACCACCATCTGCAAATATTTGCCACTTATTTTTTACTTAATGGAAACGTTTGCTAATTTTATGATAAAATAGCTTGACTTTTTTGTGATACTCAGGGCCGGATTTAGAGGTGTGGGTGCCCTGGGGCAACGAAGGAGTGAAAGCCCCTAAATCTGGATCGGAGTGTTGAGTTTATTGTTACCGTCGATTTTTTTTTCTTTTGATTTCTGTTGTGGGCCACAGCCCCGCCTGCCCTGCCTTGAATCCTTGACCGACCACTGCGAAAGTTGCTTAACTTCAACGATCGCAGCCGAACGCGCTAACCACTTGCGCCATCGAGCTCCTAATAAGTTTCTCTTTTTCATTCTGTATTGAGAATGATAAGGATGCACTTTTGTCAATTTTAAGTTTAGGTTTAGAGAATCATGCCAGTATCGACACTATTGAGTGTTTAATTAAAGGTACCTACATAGCTGTGCGATCTAAATTTAAATATTTATCGCAATACCTAAGGCACCTAAAGTAGTAGAAATATCTTGACGTCTACTATTCACCAAGATTAAAAAAATTCGTACTTCATATGATGTTGAGGCGGCTCCAGGAAACGATAGGCCTCCATCCACTGGTCAGTAACAAACTTGGTCATGTAGTTACGGATCCCGTCCGGCAAGACCACCACCACACGTTGGCCGGCCTTCAGCTTCAGTCTTTTTGCAGCCTTAACAGCAGCGGCAGTAATAAGGCCACTGCTTCCGCCTATATAAACAGTTTTTGAGATTTTTCAACTGGGGGTCACACTTTTCCATGAGGAGGAATTTTCTTTGATGAATTTCAAAGATTATGTAATGGTAATTGATAGTTACGTCTACGTTAAAAAAAAGAAATAAGTGTCACCCGAATAAATATAATTTGTTCAATTGCATTACCGCACAGCAGTCCTTCTTTTTTACACAATTCTCGTGCCATTAGAAAAGATTCCTCATCGGTGATTACTTCATATGCATCCACTATGGATTTATCCAAAACTATAGGAGCTTTTGATGATCCAGTGACTCCTTCTACCTACAAACAATATTCCATGTTTATACTAGACGTAAGCTGCCATCCAGTTTCTGATTTATTATTACTTATCTCATTAATAATTAATTAATATATTTTACCAGAAATGGATGTCTTTCCCCATTTTTGTTGAATAGAACTGAGCCGTCAGGTTCGGCGATTATCACGATACAATTGGGGTTGTATTCCTTCAGTTTGTAAGAAATGCCAGTGATAGTGCCGCCGGTGCCGGCACCCATCACCGCCAAGTCGACCGGGCCCAAAGCCTCGTGGATCTCTTCACCCGTGTGCTCATAGTGGGTGCGAGGGTTGACGTCATTGTCGAACTGTGGACGGTAAATGTGGTCAGGCATAAATTCTTGGGGCTAGTTCCTGTATATCGCCTCTTTTAGACAGTAATCTTATCTTTATTTTAAGGAGATTAATTCAGTCATATGCTTTGACATGCTGCGATTGCACATTTTACTACCCAAAGAAAATCCTTAAAGCCCCGCTGCTTATGTGCGACTCGAAAACTCGGGAACGAATAATTTAGAACTTATGTTTTTTCTCTTTCCGAACATACCTAAATACTTCAGCAATTTCACCCTGTTTGTGTAAATAATTATCATTCCAAAATACATAATTTATGCAGTATGTAGATACCTGATCCAACATAACTCTAACATCAGGGTCGTCATCCTTAATTTCATGTGCAATCTCTATATCAGATACACCACTTTTCACTTGTATCACTTCGGCGCCTAGCAGACGCATCGTGTTGACTTTTTCATTTGAATCTTTTACCGACACGACTAATATGCTCTTATTTCCTGTAAGATACAGATTCTTTCAATCAATAAACATTTTTTTTTATATGTTAGCGTTATTAATTCTGTTCTCCATCCTCCGGTTACAAAATTGAGATGCTGATTATGTTATTATTTTCCAAAATTCAAGAATATGGTTAATAATATTAATACCTTTATTTTATTAATCGAAAGAAAGATGCCTGCCTGCCTTCTTTTCCAGAGGCCCAAGCGATACCTTGATAGGATTATTTGTTTGACAATACAATTAAGAGTTCCAGAAACATGGTCCTTTATAAGCATGGGTTTGTACGTAGCATTCATTATCTGGTAGGCATATTAACCTAGGACAAGCTCTGTTGTGATGTTAAACATTAGGGTTTGGGTTACTCTATGGACCGGCACAGTCAAGTCATTCGGCAGAATCATTAAAGTCATTATTGATGGCTGCTGCGCCGCACTATCGGAACCCACCTGAGAAAGCCATCTCATAAATGTTTTTTTCATAACTGTGGCCTGTATCATACATCAAATTATAATTGATAGCTATAGCTAAAGATTTACTTTATTATAATCAATATAATATAACAATTATGTCCCTGGCTCTTCGTATCTGATAAAAAAGAACATCTCAAGTCAGGGAATGAAAAAAATACAAAAATAATCATATGATTTTAGTTAGTTTGGTATAATTTAATAGTATCAATACAAAAGCAGTCTTTAACGTGTGATACCATTTTAAAAAGCCGAGAATGTCTTCTTTTTTATAAAAATAAATATGACTTAATTATAAAAAAATCTATATCATAATACTATTTTCGTATCTTAAACTTTCAGTTGGAGTTTTGACATTTGCCGAAGCTTGCCGAAGTTTTGTTTTTTGTGTTATCTCTTAGATTTTTGCTGTATCAGTGCATAACATTGCCAAATCTCTTATAATACCAGCGTGCGAAAACATATATTTTTAAGTACGTTTAACAAGACTTTTCTGATTTCGGGTTTCACAGCACGGACATTCAAATAAAGGCTCTTGGCCATTTTGTTATATTTTTTTTTATCTTATGCTATTCTAATATCGTGTATTTCATACAATATTTAGTTTCCATTCCCATAAAAATCATGGAAAAACCGTAATATTATAAAATACTCTATATCTACTAATTTTGCACAGGTCTTCCATAATTTTTCGGTATAAAATAGTGCATTTGAGTATGAAATATTACAGTTGTTCATTAGTTTTTGTCGTTATTATTAAATAATTGTTTTTTAAATATCTCGCCGTAATGAGTCACTTCTCGTGTACCAGACACGACCTAAGTCGTGGTATACGTCATTTTTCGGTATTGACTTTTGGGCAACTTTCGGAAGATTCTCAAGAGTCACGGAATAAAAACTACAAACAGTTCAGGCTTCATCATGCTAGAAAATGGTCGAGGACAGCCACCAACGAAGATGTTCTACACACACTATTGATTGTATACCTCTGATCCCTACATTACAAGCTTGAGAAAACCTTATAATAAAAATATTTTAAACTTCTTGATGAAGTAAAGTAGCTCTTTAGTGAATTATGAGCTACTATGATGTTTCTTTTTTAAATTCAAGCAGTTACTTTTACTAGTTACCTTTATAAACTTATTAAAACATAGATGTAAGTCTTAAAATCGTATATTTTTTCTTTTCCTATATTTTGTAAGTATTATAAACAAACTTTTATTATAAGAAAAAAAATCATGATAATATCTTTATGTACACAGTAGTTATAGATTTTTGAGATGAAAATAAGTCAAAGTTCCCATAGTGCGCCGAAACGTTGAAGTTCCACAAGGTTCGGTGCTTTCCCTGTTCATGCTTCATATCAATGATATGTAGTCTGTTACTGGCATGCATTGTTATGCGGATTAGAGCACGTAAGATGCAAAATTGATAACGAAGCTGACTTTACCCAAACCCCATGTTGTTAGGACAACTTAGGTTCCATAGAAGCGAAGCTGCGCGGAGCTGATTCTTAAAGGAATTGACCAATGACGTCGCTCAAAATACATACACAATAAAAATAAAAAATATTTTGAGCAATACCGTGTCAATCAGACAAAAGATAATTCGTCTTGCATATTGTTAAATAATAATGTAAATAAAAAATATTTTGTTAATATAGATAAAAAAAAACCATCCAAAAACATTGCAAAAAATGTAAGTTTTATAAACCTGGTGCATCTTAATATTCAAGGAATGATGGGTAAGGACTTAGAAATTTAATTATTTATGAATTGTAATAATATAGATATTTTTTGTATTACACAGCACTGGCTAAAAAGTTATCAAAATATATTTAATTTTAATAATCATCAGGTTGGTAGTTCGTTCAATCGAGAAAATGCAATTCGAGGTGGCTCTTTAATATTATTGAATGAAAAACTAAAATTTAAGGAACGAAGAGATATTGTGAGCCTCTCGGTTGAGCGAACTATAGAAATTGCCTGTGTGGAACTGGACCAGCTTGTTGTATTGAGCGTATACAGACCTCCATCAGCATTGTATAATTGTTTTGAAGTTATCATGGATGAAGCTCTTAAAAAAACATACACTACAGGCAAACGGTTGATTGTCTGTGGTGACTTCAATATTGATTTATTAGAAAAATCTAGTTCATGTACTAAAATAAAAAAAAAATTTCAATCATACAATTTGAAAAGCTTATTCATTGAGCCTACTAGAATAGCTGCCACTTCGGCCACTTGTATTGATAATATATATACAGATATTATACCACAGAAAAACAAATTATTAATAAACTAGATAGTGATCATTGTGTCCAGTTGATTACATTTCCGTATCAGCTCAAGCAGGTGACAAAAAAACACATCACTGTTATACCAAAAACTGCTAATCGTGTGGAACGTTTTAAAAATCAATTAGATAGAAAATTGTGTTATCTAAAATATAAAGACAGTCCAAATGATTTATATAATGATTTTTTTAATATATACTGCGCTGAATTTTATAATGTTTTTGTACCCAAAAAAATATGTGTTAATGATGCGGTAAATTTTAGTAAGTGGGCTACGCCTGGAATTCATAAAAGTAGAAGAACACTTTATGAACTTTATAATGAACGAAACTCTAACACTAGTGAAAAATTTAAAGAGCATGTTCGTAACTATTCCAAATTGTTAAAAAAGTATGCCGCTTAGCAAAATCAAATTACTTAAGTTCAAAGATTAAGAACAGTAATGACAAAATCAAAATGACATGGAATATTATAAACAATGAAATTGGAAAATCCAAAACTCGCAAAAATAATTATAACCTAAATATTGATAATAAAAAGGTTACATCAGATATTGAAGTTGTTAAAGTATTTGAAAATTTCTTTACTGATATTCCAGTTTCAACTACGAAATCTTTGAACTCTTCCCCCATTGCTGCCGAATCAATCTTAAGAGAAAACCTTGTACTAGTTATTTTCATTTTAAACATGTTGACTTTAAAGATGTAATAAAAACGTTTCACCAATTAAATAAAAAGAAAACCGCGGATCTGTGGGGCAATTCCGTTGATGTTTCTAAATCGCATTACTCAGGAAACTCCACCACTATGGATTTAGAGATACTGATCTGGATCTTATTGCATCATACCTGAGGGATAGGATTCAGAGGGTTGACATTAATGGTAATGAGTCTCCGGGTTCGCCGGTTAAGATGGGTGTTCCGCAGGGCACCATGACACCTTACTATGTAAGAGATAACCATGAGATAATATTGTTTGCGGATGATACATCACTTTTATTTAAACTCAAACGCAAGGAAAAAATTATTGACGACGTTGACAATTTATTACTTAATGAAGGAAAAACGAAATGTATGAAATTTGGTAAAAACCAGTGTGAATGTAAAGGATAGGAATGTGGGCCTTGTAGACACCACAGTATTCTTAGGGATGACTTTAGATTCTAAGCTTCAATGGGGCCCACATATTGATAAATTGTCAAATAGACTTAGCTCTGCAGCATTTGCCGTATCTCCTTTCTTTGATTATTGTGCCAATTTTAAATTTACAGTCCATTATAAAAAAACAAATATTTAGCATCACCCGCGCAACCATTTTGGTCCTTCGAGCCGGATTAGTTGAATTTATTAGTTTTATAGAATTTATTCCATTGGGAGTAAACGCAGCGCATAGTTATAATTATCTAGCATTTTATTTGTTTATTTGTTCATACCGCTCCGTAACCACGCTAGGAATATAACTCGTTATAGAATTGAATAGGTAGGTAAGTACTTAATCGTTGCAGGTGCATAGGCACTGACGGCGTACAATACCTACTTACCGCTTAGTCTGTTATTTTGGTAGTTTGTTTGTTTACGCAGTCACTAACATAAAAGGAATAACTTTAGTACTTATTAAAATAAAAGTCGCAATTTGATTTGAGAAGGTAACTTTGTTCGTCTACCTACATTCATACGCGTCTGATCTCCGGCGCTATCATTTCACTTCAATATTTAGGTATATTTATTTAGTTTGTTGTTGTTTTTGCAATGCCTCCGAAAATGAATTCGGATGCGCAATTAAAATTGTTGCATGCAAAAAGGGACAACCTATTTGCACGTATGCAATTAATTTGTGATAGCTCGTCGAAAATCGAAGATGAAACAATCAGAGAAATGTTTTTGTGTTCCATTGAAACCGTGGATAAATTACGCTTAGATTTCGAAAATGTACTCGATAGAATCAATACCCTAGAATTAGAATTAAATCCCGAGTTTTTGGTTAATTACGACGCCTTGTCGTCATTTGAAGATTTAGTTTGTCGTACAAAACGTGTCGCAAATCGTTAGAAATTCCCGTCGAATCAAAACCTGCGCTGGATAGTGTATGGAGGCAAGATAGACCAAAATTACCGCCTATACAGATACCAGAATTTGATGGTGATATCAAAAACTGGCCTTTGTTTTATGCTTGTTTTGAGAATACGATTCATAGAAATAACGGATTATCGAATCACGAAAAATTACATTATTTAGTTGGTAAACTCACTGGTAAAGCAAAATCTGTTTGTGCTGGAATTACTTTAAGTGGAGAAAATTACAATTTGATTTTGAACTCTTTAAAAATAAAATACGAAAATAAACGTTTAGTTGCAACTACTTATTTAGACCAAATATTTAATTTGAAAAATATTTTAATCAATAATGGGCACGATTTAGAAAAGTTTTTAGACACATTTGTAACAGCAGTTCGCGCCTTAAAGAACCTTAAGTTCGATGACCTCAGCGATTTTTTGTTTTTATATATTGCATTAAGAAAGTTAGATTCCGAAACAGTTCGCTTATTCGAAATGGAGCAACGTAGCAACACTAACATTAAATTCGATGATTTAGAAAATTTTATTCGAAACTATATTCAAATTTTGCAACGAACGTCGTCAAAGTCGGAAACGAAAAGGTCAAATATACTACTAGTAAAACTAGTAGTAGTAGTGAGCTGTCCAAGTTAACGCATACTTATGTCATTACGGTTTCGAAAACTTCTCATTTGGAAAAATGCACCTTATGTACGGCCTGTACACGATCAATTTTATAAGTGTCCCGGGTTCCTAAAACTCAATCCTATTGAGCGCTATAGATTTGTTCGCAGTAATAATTTGTGTATTAACTGTCTAAGTGATAGACATCGTGTTTCGGTTTGTAGTTCGAATAGTACTTGTCGCAAGTGTTATGCCAAACACCATACTTTATTGCACTTCGAAAATAATGTCGCCGCTCATGCGGCCACAGCTGTTGACAGTGCGCCCGCTAACGCTGCATCTAGTAGTCGAGCGCCGTCTGCGACCGTTCGGTCGCCGCCGCCACCACTCGTGCCAGTTAACGGATGTAGATACGGCCAGATTAGTGTACTTTAGTTATTTCCATATTTTCGTACGGAATTTTAATGTGGGGAAATGCCGCCGACATTCAAACTATTTTTGTGCTGCAGAAGAGAGCTATTCAATCAATTTATAATCTTAAAGTTAAAGAATCATTAATAGATAAGTTTAAAGAATTTGGAATAATGACGGTCGCATCACAATACATATACGAAAATTTATTACTTGTAAGAAAAAAATATAATTTGTTTCTTAAAAACAGTGTTGTTCACACAATTAATACAAGAAACAAAAATAAACTAACTTTACCCGCTACTAGGCTTCACAAAATTAATAATTCATTTAAAGGTCTTTGTGTTCGCTTATACAATAAAGTCCCAAGTAATATCCAAGAGTTAGCCATAAATAAATTTAAAGATATTATAAAAAAACACTTATTAAAAAAGCTTATTACAAAGTGTGTGATTATATTACAGACAAAAATGCTTGGGTTTGAACTGTTCCAATCATTCCAACAGGTTTTCTATATTAAATAAAGCATAATTGTATTGACGTTGTAATAACATAATGATTTGTAAATGTTGTTATATTAGACTTTTAATGTTGTGGAGTTTTTTTCGCTCGTTTCTCTCCGCAGCTAAAAAATATGTCCATAACGAGTGGTAGGGAAAAAAATTTTTGGACGATTCAAAAGAGTTGTACTATACATCCAATTTGAATAAAGATATATTGATTTCTGATTTCTGAATTTCTTTAAGACTCTTCAGTAGCTCCGCTTCTGTGGAAATGTTTCTGCACTGTCACCTAGTGTCGGTGCTTTTCATTTCATATACATTAAGTACAACATGACGTTTTTAAATAAAATACTGAGAGAAGATGATAAGCTCACCCCTAAGCGTAGCATTGAACGCAACGGCGATACCAGTATTGCCAGAGGTAGGTTCCACAAAAACAGTGTTCTCGTTAATGGCTCCGTGTGTTGCTGCGTCCTTCATCATTGCGTATGCGACTCGGTCCTTGGTCGACCCAGCTGGGTTGAAAAATTCGCATTTTGCATCTAGCAGGGAATAAGTTTATTTTTAAAATTAATTACATATTAATATATATTTCATAGCCCAATTTGTTTATACACAAACCTTCAATAAAAACTTTCCGTGCGACTTTATTTATGAAGTAAATATACTGTAAAGGTACATAAACATACATACTTATAGATAGAAAACTTATTATGTAAGTTTTCAAAAATTGCTTCTGCTCATAAAAAGGACTAGGTTATTATTTTATAATCTTTCAAAGAGATATCCAACTTAGAATCCACACTTACACATTTCACACTCGAGTCCATGATCCTTAGGTATTTTGTTAAGTTTGACAAGTGGTGTGTTACCGAGCACTTCCAGTATACTTTGGTATACTTTATTGACCCCTGTGTTTCTTGGGTGACTGAGGACACTATAATAAATAGTTGTGCGTCAGAAGAAATTCTATCATAGGTACATGAATATACTAAATCATTTTCATAAAGTTTCTCCCTGAATGTTACAATAAATAATAAAAGTTCTTATATTAAGTAAGTTGATGTTGCTCAGGCTTATAAAAAGTGTTTTTTTTTTGTTGGAAAAATATACACTACATATTCTTTGCCTATAATCTTATTAATTTTAAAGCCAAATTATCATTTGGAGTCGGTGTCATACAAAGCAGTAAATGGTAACTCGGATCTATCTATCTATATACATGGCACCGACTTTGAAATATCTGAAAAAATCTTGACATAACAGGCTTTTTATGAACTTTTAAAGTTAATTATAAGAGTTAAGATTAAGAGGAGTAATAGCCGTTAACATAATTATGTACGATTACATTATTACAATAACATATTGATTTTTCACTACACTATTGCAATGTGTCCAAACGGCCATCATGCCGCGACTTTATAGGAGCTTAATACCATCAAAATACCTATTATCATGATTTTTATTTATAGAAATATCACAACTAACAATCACTGTTTTTGGGTGCCAGTTTACTTTATTTGAGTAATGTTTCTCTTCATTCAAAAAGTAGAAATTATAACACACTTACACATTTCTTTGTTGATTACGAGTTTTTAGGTTTTCAATATAATCTGACCAATTATTGTTCATTTTCTGAACGATTAGCCTGATTCAGCCAATTCAAAAACATCTAAGACAAAAAATGGACTCCACAGGGCGATGATGGGTTTCTTATATAATTATACTCGAGTTACGGTCCTTTACTTCTATTAAATTTTATGATATTTTTATTACATAGATAAATTAACAAAGGAATGGTTTCACACGGCATGACATTAATATTGCATTGCACGATGTTAGTTATGTGTTTAGCGGTTAAGGTATTTTTAAACAATCAAATTTTTATTTATTTATTAAGTAATTCCTTTAAGCATTTAATTTTTAGAATATTGGTATTCCCGCGACTTCGTCTGCGTGGATTTAGTGATTCAGGCAGCATATTTTTACCAAATCTGCTTTTTCATCATTCTGCTTACTATTTAAAAAATATAAAGTTAGTGGTTTTATATTAGCAAATATAAATAACGTGTAAAATTTGGGGTAATTTTAAATTAGAAAAGCGGAACATTCTCTGAGTAATACAATGAGTGCAAATCAAGATCCAGTTTATTGTAAAAATATACATAAATTCTGACGTGGCTCAGATCGGTTTCAGAGCAGAAGAGAGAAACTTACAAAAGTATTATGAAAAACCTAAAATGATTGTCTAGAATGGTAGTACTATGTCCAGATACATACCTTCTTCTCGATCTCCCGGTAGTTTAAAGATGCATTTGACATTTTCCGGATTAAGAAAAGCATGGAAGTTCTATAGCCAGTAAATAGTTATTTGTTCAACTAGAGAGGAAAGTTGGTTTTCCAAGCGAGTGCTAATTTTGAATCCTGAGTAAGCGAAGGATGCTAATAATTGAATCACGAGCGTTAGCGAGTGATTCTACATTAGAATTCTGAGCGTCGCGAGGGATTCCAAGGTACGAGATGGAAATAACTTTTCTCTCGCGTGACACATACAACTTTTCACCTAAGCAGCGAGAACATTATTAGAGATAAAAAGATACAATATGTATAAAAATGAAACCACATATATTTGCAAACAATAAGTATCTACTAAAATTTAAAATTGCAGTTATTAAAAGTTATATTTTGAAAATTTATATTTTTATTAGGAAGTGATACCGTGGAGTTTGCGATTTGAGTTTGACTAGAGTTCGTTTCTATTTCTTAATTGGACTGTGACGAGACAATACTATTAGTAAACTTTGGCGACTCGGTGCGACTTCTTACCGAATTTTCAATGATAGTTGTGTTTTTGGAAGTAGAGGGGCGCATATGGATCAGGTTTAAAGTTTATGCTTTGTAGTATGCGTTTACAGGTTTTAGACTTATTTTCGATCGAATCTTCAATATATCCTTCAGCGACCGTGTTTGACTTCCAGCCGCCATGACGTTTTAATGTTGTGAGGTTGGCTCCTGAATCAGCCAAAAGCGTGGCCGAAATTCGCCTAACGCAATGTCCAGTGTAAAGGTGAGGCTCTTGTAATTTTAAAAAAGTGGCTATTTGTTGTGGTGTCCCGCCTATTTTATTGATTCCCATAGGCTGTCTTGAACACTTGTCATTACGATACTGCAAGAAAAATCGATCTGTTTTCGTATTATCAGGTCGTAATGCCTTATATTTCTCGACAATTTTCACATATTCGTCGCGAATAACAAAGGACCTGTCAATGTTTGTCTTTGTGTTGGGTAGGTTGACTAATAGCAGTTCGTCAGAATGTTTTTCGATGGCATTAACAGTCAGATTTAACAGTTCGTTAGAGCGGCATGCTCCATTTATTCCAATAATGAGGATAACCTGTAATAAAAATATTATATAAGTAAAATGTTAGTAATTAAAATGTATGACAAACAAAACGTAGTATTTACCCACTTTTTATACATAAGTAACTAGTATTTTAGTAAATACTAGCGGTCCGCCCTCGCTTCGCTTCGGTGTAGAGCTGAAGTGTACTCTATAGTTTTTTTTTTCTCAGGCTTGTATTAAACACAATGACATTCATCTATGATTCTTCTTATACCTGCATGCAAAGTCTCAGCCCGATTGGTTTAAAATTGACAAAGTTTCATACAAACTTTCATTCCCTATTTTATCCCCTTGGGGGTAGAATTGATCAAAATCCTTTCTTAGCGGATGCCTACGTCATAACATCTACCTGCATGCCAAATTTCAGCCCGATCCTTCCAGTGGTTTGGGCTGTGCGTTGATAGATCACTATGTCAGTCAGTCCCCTTTGACTTTTATATATACATATATAGATAAAAACGGTAATTTTTATTACCTGTATTTATAATCAAACTAAAATTCTCATATTTACGTTATATAATCGAAATGCTCCGAACTGCTAAGCTATCAGGAGTTACACGTGTTATTGTGAGTCAACTATAAAAGATAGACATATGCTGTTGCGGGATATTTTTTAGACAATTTTATGTTGAATATTTCCGTCATTCATAATTTCTATGTAACTTTAACCATTAAGGCTGCACACGCGACGGAAGCTGAAAAAATGGAGTTACTTCTCCCGTTTTCCCAACATTTCCCTTCACTACTCTGCTCATATTGATTGTAGCGTGATGAAAAGTATACTATAACCTGCCCAGGAGTATGAAGAATAATTGTACCAAGTTTCATTAAAATCCGTCGAGTAGTTTCTATAAGGAACATACACACAGACAGACAGACAGACAGACAAAACTTTTACTGCTTGCATTTTTGGCATCAGTATCGATCACTAATCACCTCCTGATAGTTATTTTGAAAATATATTTCATGTACAGAATTGACCTCTCTACAGATTTATTATAAGTATATAGATTAGCGAAAATGGTTAGCGTACGTGCACATATATTACTAATTAAGTATAGATGTATAGGTAGTAACTTACTTTTGCAGCGAGAAAATTGCAGTCCGGAGCCGTGCCGGAGCTTCATTAAGAAATTTTTCAATATTAGAGATTGAAAAAATTTTGGTCTTTTTAGATTTGTGTCCTACTGACTTTCTTTTCAAAAATGCAATAAGTTTGGGATAAGTTTCAATATGAACTTATAAAATTTAAATAGAGGGCCACAATGCTGATCTTTTAAGACACGATTTTATCTCATCGGCACGTCTTCCCCTTAGAAATACTGGCAGTTTGATGAAAGTCTCCTGCCAGTAATACAGTCAAACCGCCCATCAAACTTTTGTTGGTGCGTATGTCTTGCAGAGTCATATTCAAAGCTTCTATAACTTTTATGGGCCATAGTACTTTCCAGGCAATACAGTTTTGAAATATTATACGTCGTCGGATCGCACCTTTCGTGCACGTCATTGAACTCTACTCTGTTCGCTGTTATTGATACTATTGACTGAGTAGTTTAAAATATTTATCTGTCAATCCTTAATTTTGGTCGACAAATTAGAGTATCATATTTAAAAGTTGGACTACAAAAGTAAGACACGATTTTAAAAGAGACAGTATTACATTTTCCAGTCATACTCGCGTACCGCATGTATTTAAACTAAGATAAAGATGTCATTTGGATTTTGCGTTGGTTACATTTGCGGTTGTTCTTATTGCGGTGAATATTAAGTTAAGTATTATTAGTTATGTAATAACTACAGTGTAGGCATAGGCTTCATAGAGGGAGTAAGAAAATACCAAATTCTAAAATAATTTTCATAATAATATTGTGTTACTAACTAAGTACAATTAAACTGTAAATAATTTGTATTTTTACAATATCATATTAAATCTAACAAACAACTATTTTACTTTCGTAAAAAATACACTATAATAAGTAAGTTGTTTCAAAATAATTAACAAATATTTACAAAAGGATTTAATTTCTCTCCTACTCTCTCGTAGTAACTCGAGTTTCCACTTCTATGAAAAGAAATAGAATAAGTCACTTTTATCACTGTTGGGTACTTCTTGAAACAATGCTGACCAAACGTTTTTAGTCATTGAGATCAAGATGTTGTTTTGAAAACCAAGTTAGAGAAAATGAAACTTGTACAAACGATAATATAATGGCCGATTTCATTATCATAACATTTTTTAACATAATGAAATTGGAACAATAAAATATCTGAGTCGATTTCAATGACATCAGAAAAAATATTAATTGAATTAAATGAAAAAGATTTAATTTTAAAAGTTGTTTCAGTATCGGTCATTAAAACCAAGACGGGTTACGAATTTTTGAAATAACAAAGCTCGATTGGCACCGATGGTCACCTCATTTAGACTAAATGTTTACGCGCATAAAATAACACTTAAATAGGTACCGTCCAAATCGATTTACTAAAATAGTCATCACTTTATAACAATTTCAACCGCTTCGCACTTCACACTCGTTTCCACAAGGTAGTGTTTGAAATACGCAGCATTTGATTACCTTTAAACACGCCTAGATACTGTATTAACTGCACGGAAGCGCTTTAAAAATATCTACTGCGTATGGTAGATATCTCGTCGCTACACACACATACATTGACTGCTTTCAAACAATTTGATATTAGCATTGCGCGTAACATGAGACATTTTATTTGCGTGGTTTAATTGGATTGCTCTATCTAGGCGTGTTAATAATTGAAGTACACAGTCCTGTTTAGGTATACAGTAAAAACCGCTTTTGCTGTTAGCGTTGTGTTTATAGATTTCACGGTTCTTGAGCGTAGTTCTCGTAGAGCCAGTCCCAGAATCGGACCCGTTTCGCCTCCGGTCCCGTGAGCTGCGTGAAGTTGCCGTCGATGTTGAGGTAGTCGACGTGTCGAGTGTCGTTCACAGGACCCCATTTGAAGTTTACCACCGACTCGTAGTCCACCGGTGGAGTAGGGTTCCTATTAAAGAGGAGAGAAATCTCATAAATTCGGCCGCTATAAATCAATTAGAATTTGGGTATGTTTTGGGTTCCCCTTCTCTTCAAGTGATGGCACCAAAAGTAAGGACAACGTCCATGCGCAGATAAAAAGACCACTCCAGTTCCTTTGTCTATAGACTTCGTAGTCAAAAAGACCGCCCTTCTCGCTGTCTGCGCTGCGCCTATGCGCCTAATAAGGTTGGAGCAAATGATTTTACTCCCATAGCGATCGGCTGGTAGATTTATTATCTACGCTGGTCAATCTATAGCGGTGGTTTTCTTTAGTTCCAGACTAGATCGGGAATAGATCCTCAAATAAAAGATTAATTTAGTTTTTGTGGAACACACAATATTAGGATTATGAACGATAAGTCTCCTATTATATGAAACACGTAGAAAATTACACTGAATGGAAATGCTATTTAACTTTATCATGGACCAATAACTTATCGATAAGAAAAACTATTGTTTGATCTGATTTATTGCCACCGTATAACCAGTAGGTATTAAAATTATAACTTAATATATGCAGAATACATGTATTAGGTATAGACAGGTATAGTTTGATGTCAAAGGTATACATTTGCGTACACACACTTTCTGTAAGGACAACTGTCTAGTTAGACTATATTCATGTTTGATTATGTATTGGTGTGTTATTTTGTAAGTGTACCTTAATTTTTTCTATTATCACTTACCCAGTCTTGGCGAAGTTAGTCCACATTTGTACCATGCGTCTTGACACGGCGAGTTCTGTGGAGTCATCGTCTAATCTGTAGTTGAGTCTAGAGAAGTAGAACAGGTATCCCATCTCGTCCCCGTGGCATGCTCCCGGGTGGGTGATGCCCAGCATCCGCTTGAAGAGTCCTAGGGCTCCGTCGAAGGCGAACCGGTATAAATACGTGGGACTAGTCCTATTGGTCATCGCTTGGAGACGCAGCGTCTCCAAGATTGGCCGAAGAAACATCACGTCCGTGAATAACTGCAAAAGAGTGTATAACTTTATTTAAATGTAGATATACGAGTATTATGTGACAGAAATCACCCTCTGTGCAGAGCCTGCCTGGAGGAGACGAGCGTCCATGTTCTGCTGGATTGCAGAAGCGTTGCAAGACAAAGGACTTCTCTAACTGGTTTCTTCACTGGGTGTCGCGTTGCGGAAACACCCTGCCGTACTACTAAGACTAAGTGACAGAAATTACAATCTTGGGAAAGATTCTCTTGGTTGTTTTAAGAACTTTAACCCACGGGATACAGAGGGATATAGAATAGAAAAATACATTGTTTGTTGTCATTTGTAAGTCAGTCAGTACCGTCAGTATTCACCGCGGACCCGCAATCTTTGAGAAGCCGACACCTTCAAACCCGGCAGGCAGCGTACATGCCATTCGGCCACGGGGTCGTCAATGGCAATTTAAGCCGAAAATCCTAGTCTAATTCATGAAAATATCTAAGTATGTAGTGTTGAGATTACCTGCACAAGTATACTTACATCAATGAGACTGTTGATGTTACGAACGTCGACGGGTCGGTGCTGGAAGTAGAATGTCCTGATGGCTTCCGTTATATTCCTGTTCTGCTCTTCGTTATCTGTCAGCAGTTCTGGAGGCACTACGCGTCTGAACTCGCGTTCCAGCTCACTGAGCAGCTTCGGGTCCCGTTGTAAACCTGCAATACGAAAAGTTAATTTTTTATAGAAACCTTGGCAATTATGGTAAATTATCCCACTTCTTCTTCATGCTCGAAAATGATTTAGTCTGTTTTAATAAAAATATATTACTTATTTACAAACAATAAACTCAAAATGTAAGTATAGAATGTGGTACAGTTCATCACATTGTTATAGTTAGTTATTTATTTTTATAATTAATTAATTAATATTCAATCTAGGTAAATTACACGTTGTTTGCTGTCTTTTGTAAGGTTATTTTAGCTTCTAGCTGCTAGATTAATAAATAAAGAAAAAACAAAATACTACATAAAATATTCGCCTGGAATGCGGAAGGTGCGGTTTCGAATCCCGTCCGATGCCTAAACACGTTGTTGTTATTGAAGTTCAAATACACACACAAACAGAAGACTTTAAACAACTTTATTATTAATACCCAGTCCTGTTTTCTCTTCTTATAAGTATAAGTTTTTCAAAGCTCAAAGTGGTACGGTTAATGATTTACCAAACATCTAACCGCCATGATGTTCGCTTACCAAGTGAACTGTATAAATTAGGTACGAGCGGCCGCTCGCAACTACATCCGCGTTAACTTTTTTTTACAAAAGTTAAAAGATTTTTTGAAAACCCGGACTTTAACACTTTTTCGGGATCAAAAGTAACCTATGTCTCAATCCAGGTCATAAAATAATAATAAAGGTATCGAATTTCATCCAAATCCGATCAGTGGTTTAGGCGTGAAACCGTAACAAACAAACACTATCGCATTATATTAGGTAGGAACAAGTTAGGATGAATAACAGTATTATATATATATATATATATATATATATATATATATATATATATATATATATATATATATATATATATATATGTTTTTTATCCAAAAATGCTTGCCATAGATACAAGTTATGACAATTAGTTTATCTAATTGGCGCTTTGTTGTGAATTTATATCGATACGTTGAAATGTTTTAAATAAGTTTAAAAAACGTTTCTCAGTATTATCGGTTATCAACTGCGTCACAATAAATATGATTTGCGTTATCTTATAAGACCTTTTATCTATATCCTAAAATCTGTGTTGTTACTGATTTCATATTAAGCACATTAATCATTACATTGATAAAAAAATGACAAATGCATATAGGTTAATCCCCATTAATCCTCATAATTTATATTTTTGTGAAAATGTTGGTGGCAATTGGATTGTTTACTGATTTTGTTGAAACCCGGTTATGTTTCACTTTTTAAATTGATTATCATTTATTAAGATTCGTTTTCTATAAGGTTGAGGAGTGTCCGTTTAATAATAATAATATTTGTGTCTGCTGCCTGGTCCGCGTGGATTTTTTTCTAGTTATATTTTCTTTATATTTAAACATCAAGCAGTTACATGCTTAAAAAATAAAAATTATAACTATATTTTCTGTTAATTAATAGTCGAACACTTAAATTTCTAATTCAATAAGTGTAACTAATCTATTTAATGAAACATGATGCAAGTGAAACATTTATATTGTTTTTAATCGCCTATTTGTTCGGATCGTAGGCAATAACTGAAATTTTTCGGGTAATTCGATGCTTATTTTAATCGGATAATGTTAAAAACGGGCAGAGTATGTCCCCGCCCGGTGTTTAAAATTATGCCTGAAATGCAGGCAATGTTAGTAGGTACTGTAACGTCCGTTACGTTACAGCCTCCTTGTTTGGATAAACTCTTTGTTCATGTAATGCCTACGGCTGGCACTTATATTAAAAAGTTAATGTCATGATTTTAATATTTGAAATTAGGAATTGTCTGTCTTTTGATAGGCGAATGCTACACGCTCGATATTTATCGTGATATTTGGATCGGATCACGATATTTATCGAGTCTGTAGTATAGAGTAGGGATGTTGCGAACATTCGCATCTGCATCCGCAAATGCGGAACATCCGCATTGATTTGGACATCTGCATCTGCTTCCGCATCCGCATTAATCAATGCGAATGTTCATGCGGATGCGAATATTATACAAGTAGCGACAAGAAAGAAATTGGGCGGGGCCGGTGATTGACGCTTGCCGGTCGCACGTGACAATAACCAATGGGAGCGAAGAAATTGGTGACAAGATTCGACACGTTTGTTTGTTCTAGCTAGTGCATCATTTGTTTCTTGCAAGTGAATAAATATTACGTGTTTGTTTGCGCTGTGAAGTGAAAGTGAACTACTTATCGTATCATAAAGATAGATAGGTATTTTTAATGTTGTTGTGATACAGTGTGTAAATAAGAAGAGTTTACAAGAAAACTTTATATTATTTAAGACTAAAGATCCATAAGATCACAAGGATATTCTATTATATTACGCCGGTAATACGTTTTATTGTAGGAAAAATTATCGTTTTATGACGAAATTCGTTATTTTTCCAGTGTGATTACGTTGTCATTGTTTTAATTCTTCATTAATAGACTTAATTTACATAATATCTTATACATCCGCATCCGCATCTGCATCCGCGGATGTGAGCCTGCTAAACTCCGCATCCGCATCCGCATCCGCGGATGTGAAAATATCGGCATCTGCAACATCCCTGGTATAGAGTATCACATATCGTGGTACGGATCGCTGGATTTCTAGAAATCCTAAAATCCACGATTTGTATCAAGTATCGTTGAAGAATATCGAGCGTCTAGTCTCAAATCGATATTTATTGCGTCAGTATTAATATTGTCAGCGATGGAAGAGGATGCGCATATTGAGGCGGCGGCGCCCGCCGTACCTCATACAAACAACCAAAAGCACTTGAAATAATTCATACTAGTGTTAGAACACTACCAGAGGTATGGGACAGTTCAAGTACCGACACTGTAAATAAAGTGAAAAAGGCGAATGCCTATGAGCAACTATTGAAATTAAAAAGAATTAAACCTGGCGCGACTACCCAAGATGTCATTGCGAAGATAAACTCATTAAAATCGAATTAAATAGGAAAGAATTAAAAAAATAACCGATTCGAAGCGATCTGGTGCTTCTACGGAAAATGTATACAATAAGGGTTGCCAACTCTACTATATAATATAGTATCCTACTATATTAGGGGATCAAATAGGTACTATATTCCTAAAAAAATATAAAGTAGGCGAAAGTACTATATTTTGCTTAAAGCAGGTTTTTGCCAATAAAAGCTTTCTTAAAAATAAAAACTGTATTATTAAGGTATAGAGCAGCAAAAAATAAACTCATTTTAAAAATTAAGTAAATATTTTAATCACATACTATAGTTTTTCCATTTTTTTGCCTTCTACTATATTTTAGAGGTAACAGCTTCGAAAATACTATATTTGATAGAAAAAAAGTTGTTAACCCTATATACAATCCAAAGTCTTGTGTTTTTTATTTATATTATCACTCATAGCTTTATTTATATTGTAATACGAAACTTACGAGTGTACTCAATGAAATTTACTGTCGTATTGACGTGATTCGTATCGTGTGTGTAGTAAAATATTACTAGATAAATATCACGTTACATATCGCGATACATATCGAGCGTGTAGCATTCGCCTAGAAGATTCCACATCATATAGACTTCAGGCACCAAACAATGCGTTAATAAGATTAAGCTCATATTTTATATTCGCCTAAAATCAAATATAAAAATATCAAATCAAAGTTGGTTCAATAAATGGGATAGGGTAAAGTTTTGCTGATAGACGGGGTAGAATAAAAATAGCTTGGGTAATTTAAGGAATAGCTAGGGATAGTTTTGTTTTTTGTATTTGCCGACTGATGTCGATGTTAAGTAAAATTAAGGTTAGAGGGAGATGTACGAGGGATTTTGTTAAGGTTTTGCTCCCGTAAAGTCTTTTCAATAAACTTTGCATACTGTTAGGGTTCTATTCCCGTAAAGTTTTTTTTTTGCAAGTTTTGCAAACTTATTGTGAGGGCTAGTCTGTAGTAAAGGCCACCTCCCGGTTGTATCGATGTCCTTAAGTAGGTAGGGATTTTTAGATAGGACTGTCGAACCGTTACGTTATAGCCTCTTTGTTTGGATAAACTCTTTGTTCATGTAATGCCTACGGCTGGCACTTATATTAAAAAGTTAATGTCATGATTTTAATATTTGAAATTAGGAATCGTCTGTCTTTAGATAGAAGATTCCACATCATATAGACTTTAGTCACCAAACCATGCGTTAATAAGATTAAGCTCATATTTTATATTCGCCTGAAATCAAATATAAAAATATCAAATCAAAGTTGTTTCAATAAATTGCTTCGCCCCCAGGATCTACCCCTTCAGGGTAGATCGCCGCAGTACCTTACCTAGCCCATGTAATAATAAATAAGTTTATACGAAATCAAATATTTTTTATATGTTACGTCCATGTCTTAAAAGTATTTTAATGAAAATTAATTATAATTTATCTACTTTATGTCGCATGCATTAAGCATGACGGGAAACAACACCAAAACGCAACCAAAACCATGAAGTCCGAAAATGCAAGCATCATTGCATTTTCTATTATTTTCGAATAAAAAAACTGATAAGTTCAAAGAGCTTAAAAGTAAGTGTTTTTTATGATTTTGCTACTTTTGCTTAAAAAAAAAATTCTCATGCTTTCACGCACACCTGAAACTTTCTCAGGAAAACGGAACCTGTAGGATCTTATACGTCGAGAAATGTACAAAAGAAGGTAGGTATTTAAAAGCGCAATGAGACCTATTGAAAATGCGTTTTTTTTTAAAATGAACGAGCCTTACTGTAGTCGCGTATGATGTGTAACATTTGAAACCTCATCTTGTTTTAGTAAAAAAGAAATAAAACCTACTGCAAAAGGAATAAGCCATTTGAACATTATGTTCTAAAATCAAATCAAATAGCGCGCGCTTTCACGACTTCCTGTTACACACTTCCGTCCCATTTCACGAAATCACTCCCAAAAATTGCAGGAAAGTGAGAGGAAAGATGTTACACATCAAAAAAGTTAATAAAATGAAATTAAAAACATG